CCCTGGAGAGGCCGTGGCTCCCTCCCAAAGCCCCAGTGAGGTCCCTGCTCCCAGCTGGGGGTGTGAAGTAGGTCACTGTGCCGAGGAGACACAACAAGGCCCCGAGTGCTGCCAGCAGCTTGTAGATTAAAATGGAAGGGATTAATTAGGAAGGATTAAGAGCAGATGCTGGCCTGGGCAGGATGGAAAAACCAGCAGAGACAGCTGGCTTTCCACAAGTCAGGAAGTGGGGGAAAAAAATTGGGCAGGAGGATGAGAGGAGGGCTCAGCAGGCAGAGGGAAACTCCAGGGCAGGAGCTGCAGTGGCAGGCTGGGATGGGGCAGAGGAAGGGCTGGAACAGCTCATGTTTCCTATGGACAGCCCTGCTGAGGCCTGGCAAGACCAAAACCTCCCAGGGCCAGGAGTCTTGGGCTGGTTCAAACCGCTGCCTGTTGCCAAGCCCAGCAGAGCAGCAGCTGTTTGGCACCCAGCAGCCACAGCCAGGACTATTTTTAAGCCCAGCTGAGGTGCCAATGCCAAGCCGGTGGCTCTGGAGGCCCTGTGACACCCCCACGAGTTCCTGGAGCTGACCCAGGCAAATCAAGGAGCCCAAGTTTTACAGAAAAGTCGTGTCTTGTTACTCTTTTCTTTCTCGTTTGGCTCAAAGTTGTGTCTTGCTACTTTTTTCCTTCTTGTTTGGCTTTACCAAACTAACCCGAGTGTTCCCGCTGGTGATGAAGGAAAACATCTGTTCAGATCAAGGCAGGAGAAGCTGCTCAGGACCAAAGGCAAGGAAAGACTTGCAGGTGACAAGATACGTGTTAAAAATCCTGGAGATAGTTACAGAATCATGGAATGGTTTGGACTGAAGGGACCTCAAAGCTCATCCAGTGCCATGGCAGGGACCCATTCCACTGTCCAAGGGTGCTCCAGCCTGGCCTGGGACACTTCCAGGGATCCAGGGGCAGCCACAGATGCTCTGGGAATTCCATCCCAGCCCCTGCCCACCTCCACAAGGAGGAATTCCTTCCCAATATTCCATCTATCTCTGCCCTGTGGCAGTTTAAAACCATCCCCCCTTGGCCTGACACTCTCTGCCTGTACAAGAAGCCCCTCTCCTTCCTATAACCCCTTTTTAGAAAGCAGAAAGGACTCTCAGGTCTCCCCACAGCCTTTTCTTCTCCAAGCTGAACACCCCCAGCCCCCCCAGCCTGGCCCCATTCCTAGGAAAGGGAGAGCAGAGCAAATCCATGAGAAGCTCCAGTGAATTGCCAGTGCCTCCTCCTGCTCTCTGGATCAGGACATCTAGAAAACATCAAACATATTGCTCAAACTCCAGCTTCCCATCTTCCCTGGAAGAAATGACGGTGGCATCACACTCCTATCTTTGGACAATGCAGGGCAGGAGCTCACATTGGTCAGGGGTCAGGTTTTCCACCCTCCTGGCCGCCCAGCAGCCAGGCTGGAAATGCCAGGAGATTCATCTGAAAGCTGCTGGGAACACAACCCAGCACTTCTGGCTGCTACAATGAACCAGCCTCCAGTTCATTTGTTTAGTTAAAAAGTTTCTTCTTCGGGCCCAGCTGCGTAACCTTCCTGGAACCCTTCCCAAAGGTTTTACACTTCCCAGCTCCCCCTGCAGCCTCCCAGGCCCTCGCCACCATGCCCATAAAAGCTCAGGAAGTGCGAGGTGGGGAGGAAAGCTAATCAGAGAAAAATGTGTTGGGTTTAAGGGGCAGCAACCCTGTACACAGGGGCAGGGAGGGAAAATGCCCACAGAGATGCCAACCCTGTTCTAGTGAGTGGGGAGAGTGGGCACAGCACAGACCACAGCAGTAGCACTGGGTGGAGCAGGAGGGACAGATTTAGGGGAAAAAACCCTACAGGAACAGGACACTGCACTGTTGGGATGAGAGTTTTCTTCCCTTTAAACACTCACAGGCACACAGCTGTGCTTGAGGGGGCTGGGTTATGTTGCTGAGGCGTAAAAAGAAATCCCCAAGTGATCCCTGGTCCCAAAGGAGGAACTCCCTGCTGTGGAAGGCTGTAGTAACCTCAGAGTAAAGAGTAAAACAGGCTCAGAGTGAAACAGGCTCAGAGTAAAACTGGCTAAGAGTGAAAAAGACTCAGAGTGAACCGGGCTCAGAGAAAAACTGGTTTCTCCCCTGAAGGTGGATTAGCAGAGACACCACAACTCAGCCTCGATCTTTTAGGTAGATACCAGATACAAAAATCCCTGACCACAGATCCCTGCCCAGCCCTAGGATGTCACAGCTGGCATAGAAAAAAACTGAGGCCAACTGAGGTGATGAAACACCTGCAAACTTTGACCTACAGGTCGATAAAATCTCTCTGCTGCTGGCAGGAGTCTCCAGAGGGACAGAGTGATCCAAGAACTGCCTGGCTCCCAAGGGAGTTTCATTCCCATAATACCAATATCCCAAAAGGCTGTCAGAGGCTGATGCCAGACTCTTTCCATTGGTGCCAAGTAACAGGACAAGGAGTGAGGCTCTAAACTAAACCACAAGAAGTTCAACCTCAAGAGGAGGAAAAAATTCTTTCCATGGAGGACGGCAGAGCCCTGGAACAGCTGGAGTCTCCCTCTCTGGAGACATTCCAAACTCACCTGGACCTGTGTCACCTGTTCCAGGTGACCCTGCCTGGGCAGGGGGTTGGACTGGATGATCTCCAAGTCAAATTTTTCTGGGCTTATAGATTCTGGAAACTTTCACAAGCAAGCTGTATCTGTGGCTTTGTGCCTCACCTTTCCCAAATCTCCTGGTCAGTCTGAGCTGCATCTGAGGCTTTGTGCCTCACACCTTTCCCACATTAGTTTGAGCTGCATCTGAGGCTTTGTGCCTCACCTTTCCCACATCCTCTGGTCAGTCTGAGCTGCATCTGGGCCTGGCCAGTCCCATCAGCTGTGGCACCCCAAATCCCTCGGGAGCAGAGCTCTGGCCAGAACCCAGAGCTGTGGAGCTCTCCCATCTGTGTAAGCCCCTGCAGCCCCCTCACTCACGTGATGTACTTGTTGTAGAGGATGAAGGCGTGCTCCAGGTTGCCCTCCTCGCAGTACACGGTGGCCATGCGCAGCATCTCCACGCCCGAGCGGAAGTAGCGCCGGGGGGGGATGTCCTCGCTCACCTCCACGCTGCTGCCGGCCTGGATCAGGCGCCGCACGCGCTCCTCCGGCGCCAGGCCGGCGCTGCCGGGGCCCGGCATGGTGACACACATGGGCCAGCCTGGGGCTCTGCGGGAGGGAGCCACGGCATCAGGAATGTGGGGAACGGGGTCACGGGGTCACAGAAATCATGGGATCATGGAATCACAGAGTCATGGGATCATGGGAATCATAAGATCATGGGAATCATGGAATCACAGAATCACGGGATCATGGGATCACAGAAATCATGGGAATCATGGAATCATAGAGTCATGGGATCATGGGATCACAGAGTCACGGGATCATGGGAGTCATGGAAATCATGGAATTATAGAGTCACGGAATCATTGAATCAGGGAAATCATGGAATCACAAAAGTTATGGAATCAGAGAGTCATGGAAATCGTTGATTCACAGAATCACAGAAATCACGGAATCGCTGAATCACAGAAATAAAAGAATCAAGAAATCACCAAATCACAGATTCATTGAACCACAGAAATAACTGAATCATGGGAATCATGGAATCACTGAATGAAAAGGTTGGAAGAGACCTTTAAGATCATTGAGTCCAACCCATGCCCTAACACCACCTCAACTAAACCATCCTGACCCAACAGGCCCATCCCAAATCCATCCTGACCCAATGGGATCCATTCTGACCCAACAGGATCATCCCAAATCCCTCTCTGCCCATGCTGTGGGAGGCACTCCTGTCACCCCAGGAATGCACCAAGACCTGACCCATGTGGGAATCACCACAGACAGGAGCTGCTGGATTCCAAGTGGAGGCAGCAAGCCCAGAAATCCTCCACAAGGCTCTTCCTCCTCCACCAAAAGCAGTTTTTCCTTGGAAAAGCCCCCCTGGGCCAAGGGAAGGGTTCAACTCCCTGTGAAATGCCACTAATTTCCTAGAACGTGTAAAAATGTTCTCACCCCTGTGGGGGTGGGCTTTTGTGAACACCTTTCCTGAAAGCCTTCCAAGAAAAATCCACTTTTTTTATATTACCTCCTCACTGAAATCACCTCCAGTTTTGTTTGCAAACCGAAAAAAAGACAATTATTTTGGTCACCCAAATGGGAGCCAGCAAAGCAACTCAGCTGCCACATGCAGTGTCAGGAATTACTGAGGCACGTCCCTTATTGGGAGGAATGAGTGGAGCCCCTCTTGAGGTTACCCCAGAGCAGCACCCCCTTTCTAAGAGCAGGCAGAGCCAGGAGCCTCTTGTCTTGTGGGATTCAGAGGCTCCTGTGCCAAAACCCTTCGGGATGTGACAGCCACAGCTCAGGGGGGCTTCACCTCTGCTGAGGGCGGGGGATCAGCTGCTCCCCCAAGCCAGAGCCCTGAGCCCCTTCCTCAAAATAATCCCTGCCAAGTCTCACAGTCCTTTTCCCCCTGCGAGAACAGACTCCCCTCACACTTGGAACCTCCCTCGAAATCCCACACGACGCCTCAAAATAAAGTGCTACAAATCACCTCCCCCCCCCGGCTGCAGGCCCTAAACTCCAGCCCCGCCCCAGACCACCAGGAGAGAGGGTGACCCCTCCCCAATATCAGAGCTCTTCCTACATCCCGCAGCCCACAAGGACAGAGAGTGACCCCTCCCCAGAGTCAGAGCCCTCCCAAGTCCCACAGCCCATCAGGAGAGGGGGTGACCCCTCCCCAGAGTCAGAGCCCTTTCCAAGTCCCGCAGCCCTCGCCCTAAGAGGGAGAGCAGGGAAGACCCCCCTGCACTGCCTGTTCCCCCCAAATTTTCCCCTGTAAAACTAGAAGAGGACTCTCCAATCAAAGCCCTCGACCCCGCAGCAAGGGGATTTTTTGTGGAATCCCCAAAACTACCCCCAAAACGAATCCCTCTACCCTAAGGGGAAAAGACGGCCCAGGCAGAGCCGCCTGCCCGGATCCCCTGTCCTGAGGGGAAACATCCCCGAGCCCTAAGCAGATCCTCCTTCCCCAGGCGAAAGTTCCCACAGCCAGACCCACCCCCGATGGGATTCTCCTTCCTAAGGTGAATATCCACAGCCGGGACACTCCGGAGCGGGTCCCCCTTCTTAAAGGGAAGATTCCAGACCCCCCTGACCGCGCCTCGATATGAGGCACCCCCGAACCGAACCGGAGCCCTGCTGGCGCGGTCTCTCAGGAGAAGTCGGGACGCCCCAGCAGCACCGCAGCCCTGGCGCCTCAAGCCGCCCCCGATGCTCAGAGGGACCCCCCAGCAGAGGTCGGGACCCCCTCTCCCGCAGGGCCCTCCCCATCCCCGGCCCAGCCCTGACCTGGCGAGCGCGGCTGCCGTTTGCCCCTCTGCACTTCCGGGTTCTCCACCACCCGCCGCGACACCACCCCGCCTCGCTCCCGGCAGCCAATCAGAAGCCGGCTCAACATCCGGGTATGTAGCAAAACCACTACCTACTTCCGCCTGGTTTTCTCTGCGGAACGTCGTGCGTCGTGACGTCACAGCGGCAGGTCTTAAAGGGGCAGCGCCCGTGTAGAGGCCGCGCTCCGCCCAAACCCAAACCCGGCCGTTCTCACTCCAAAACCGGGCCCAGCCCCCCCGCAGCGCGGATCCTGCACGGGCCCCTCAGGGGAAATGATTGCTCCACACTCAGGCTGCAGTTTGCACAGCGTGGAAATTTACTTTAGCAAAAGTGGGTAAAAAGGAGGAAAAAACCCTCATGTTTACAAAGGCCCAGTCCTGTAAACAGTTCTTGTTATGCGTTGACGAAATCAACAAAAACCCGTTTTGTTGAAGGTCTAGGGATGCCTGAGAATGTTTCTTTAGGATTATTCCAGCTCTGGTTGAGTCTATGTTTTTTTTTTATTCCCTGCATCCCTCATAGATCAGCATCGAATTAAAAAATTCCTTGCAAAAGCATCAGTGCTGGGGAGAGCAGGAGAAAACAGGTTAAAAACTAGCCCTGTTCAGCTGCCCCACACCCGGCCTGGCAACTCCTGGTTGAGCCACAGCTGCTCCCTCCAGCCCCAGGAGGGTTTTTTCCTCATGGAACACATTCCAGTGCTGTCAGGACATTTCCTGCTCCCCCAGTCTGTGTTTCCTGGGCCGGCGTTTCTTGGCAGGGGAGAGCTCCTGGGGCAGGCAGGGCTGGGGGCTCTGGGGGGGGAACAGCTCCTTGTGCTTCTTCTTAGAGGGTGGTGGAAGCCAACAGTTCCTGGGGGCCAAACTGCAGGGCTGCTTCTGCTCCAGGTGATTCTGCTGCCTCTGCTCCAG